AAATTTTCCCAAGCAAGCATTGTACTTTGTAGAAATCAAAAGAGTAAAGAAACATAGATCTCCAACATGAGGTGATGTCCACTATTAGTAGATGAAAGAGAGCAAGTCATAGATAACATGTACTGAATAACTGACCTCTTGAAGGAAAAGACAAGAAAAGGCTGCCTGTGGAAATACAAAGTGTGCCCCCAAGTGTGCGAAGGAGAGGGTATGGATAAGCTGCTACCAGTGGCTACCTCTGGGGCAGAAATCTCACCATGCCACATACATGCTACTTGGGAAAGGAAAATATTTTACACACCCACTTTCCCCATCTGTTACCCTCCAGGCAAAACTGGAGGCCTGGGTAGGCGACCCCAAGGGACGACCCTGGGCCTCACAGGTGGTGAACTCACCGCCCCAGTGAGAAATTCCAGCCCCGTGAATGGCAGCGTGTTCCTTTCAGCCACTGTGAGCTGGGGCACTGTGATGAAGCTCAAGTTCAAGATGAAGGAGAAAATGTTGAACTTCAAGAGCCACCGCAGGAAGTTGAAATAACAGAGGACACTGGTTCCAAACTTGCCTCCGATGACCTTGAGTGTCTTCTGCCACAAGCTGATGGAACTCAGGAGCTCGGAAAGGCTGTTCTTGGATCTCCGACAACCCTGAAGTTAGAAAGGAGACGAGGTGGTTGGGCATTCGTTCAGTAAGAACCTCCTGGCAGGGGCCATAATAGCCCAAAACAACCGCTGCTGGCTGCTACGGCATCACATGTGTATTCCTGCACCTGAGCCGTTGTTCACACAGCTCATTTAATTCCCACAGCCACCCTCTAAGGTTCCGCTGTTACCTTCCCAGGTTCGCTGTTGAAAAAGGTGACACCAGCACTGTCAGGGCTCCGTGTCCTCCTGGAGTTTCCCTTGCCTCTTCCGTCCCTGCACCTGCAGTGACCTGATGGGGCTGCATATGAAGTAGCCCCAGATTTTCATTTTCACTCTCCACACTCCCTGTTTTTGCCTGCTTGCTGGGCTCATCTTAGTGTGGGAATGTAAACAAGTACACTCATTACGGACGGTCCTCAAAACGCTATGGAATACTCTGGGGTCCCATGTCTGTAATCCCAGCACCCTGGGAGGTGGAGGCAGGAGGATCTCATAAACTTAATCCCAGTTTGACCAACTTAGTGACTGAGACCTTGTCTCAAAATAATAAAAATACAAAAGGGCTGGGGGTGTGTAGAGATCCTGTATTTAACCCCCAGTACCCTCCCCCACACAAAAGACATAATAAGGATAGGTAAATGCTAATTACCCTGATTAGATCAGTACATCTTGTATGTATAGGTTCAACTATCACACTATACTGTATTAGTATGTGTAAATTATCACCTGTTAATCAAAAAATAAAATTTCAAGAAAGAGTCTAACTTACCAGAGAAATGGAGCTCAGACAATGAGCACAGCAATTGAGCCGGAGGGTATGATGGGACTGCTTACTTTTCTCTTTGTCAATTATGTTCCTGGGGGAATAGGCAGGAAAAAAATGAGACACTGCCATCCATCCATCCATCCATCCATTCCAAATAACAGCTACTAAGCACCTACATGTGCCACCTGTGTTCTCAGGTAGTAAGCAAAAGGGACAATTTTCCCTGGCCTGTGGGGCTGACATTCTAGTTGGAAGAGAAAGACAACACAGTAATAAAAGGAGCAAACTATGTGAAGTATTCATAGGTGATTTATACTATTATATAGACAGTGGGGTAAAGAGATGGGAAATGCTGTCTTGGGGACCATAGGACAATGTGAAATAGAGTTACTACAAGGCATCCTCCTCTCTGAGGGAGAGGAGGTGCTAGTATAAGGATGAGGGAAAATTGCACAGTGAAAACAGACAGTAGTGCAGAGCCCCAGAAGGGACAGAATGGCAAGGAGGCCAGTGTGGTTGGAAGATAAGAAACAGAGGAACAGGAGGAAGATGTAAAGGAGGATGTGGTGGAGGTCATCCCCATGCCTTAGCAGTTCTCAACCTGGGATGACTTTGACCCCTGGGGGACAAATGGCAATGTCTGGAGGCATTTTGGTTGAACCGGCTAGCAGGGTGGAGGGGGGTTGCTCCTGTCAGTGACAACATAGAGGTAGGAAGCTGTTAAACACCCTACAGGGAACAGTCAAGAACCCCACTAGAGAATGGGGGAGCCCCCAAAAGCCAGTTGTACTGAGGCTGAGCAGTCCCATTAAGGCCTTCTAGCCCCTCCTCTGTGACACAGGGACCATGCAGAGCTTGAAACAGAAGGATATTTTGAGACAGCCACAACTGTATCTGTTCTTCTCACCCTTTGGTCAACTCCCAGTTCCATCTGCTTCCTGGCTCTCTTCCCTCCTCCTCACTCACTCACCCCAACCCTACCCTCCTTCAAGTCCCCTCTCAAGTGTCCCACCCTGCCCCAGCAAACTGTGCCCCTGTTTCCTTGTCTCCACTCTTCAGAGTTTTCTTGTTCTCCTTCTGATGTCCATTTTGTGTTATGAGACTGTCCAGGTCCCTTCACTGCATTTATTCATGGCATCTGGCTGGCTGTCTATTTTACTTGTCACATCTTATTTATTTATTTATTTATTTATTTATTTATTGTGTATTTGGTACAGGCTCTTGCTATGCAGCTCAGACTCATAGCAATCCTCCTGTTTTCAGCCTCCCCAGTGCTGGAATTACAGGCCTGCGCCACCATGTCCAGTCTCATTGGCTGGCACAGCATGGCTGCGGCAGGGTGTCACATCTTTTTTTTTTTTTTTTTCTATATTTTAGGGAAGGGTTTACAAGGGTGTTCAGGGTCTCACTACTAGATCAGACTTGTAGTGATCTGCCTGTTTACAGCCTCCCAAGAGCTGGGATTACAGGTGTGTGTCACCACTCCCAGTCTCAATTGCCTTCTCAGCGTGCCCTGAGGGCAGGGCCAGCACTAATGGCCTGGGGGATCGAACCCATGCCCCTGCACCTGCTTGCAGGTGCTTTAATCCTGCTGAGCTATTTGGCTGGCCCTTTTTTTTTTTTTTTTTTTTTTTAGCATACTCCATACTGTGATAGTTTTTCAGACTTTTCTTGAGTTTAATGACCTTAACAGTTTCAAGGAGTACTGATCAGGGATTTTGGAGAAGGACTGGCCCATTGATTTTCTTGGTCAGCCTTGGGCTCTGAGTTTTAGGAGCAAATTCCCAAAGCCTTCCTCATTACATGACTTACCTTTTGAGACCTTCACCCAAATACCTGGCTGTGGGAGTATTGGCCAGAACTCACCATAAGTTCCTTTTGTCTTTCTATAGTGTCTTAGGAAGCAAGTCACCAAGCACAGCCTCCAGCAGCCAGCCAAGGAAGAGGAGTTGAGCACCAATTCCCAGGCCAGCATCCACACAGATTATCTGGAATTCTTCACTAAGGAGGATCTTTCTATTTTCTTGTATTTATTTATTTTCCAACTCCGCACACCCAGCATTCCAGTGCCAGCACAGCATGCAGTACTGGGGATCACAACCCTAGTCCTTGTGCTTGCCAGGCAGGCGCTTAGACTGCTGAGCTATCCTCCCAGCCCCTTATCTTTTTGAGATAGGGTAAAAGTAAAGGTTTGAGGTTCACGTGAAACCTGAGAGAGAAGACAATCTTTGGTTTGTACCTCAGCTTCCTTTTCTCTTCCATGGTCCTTGGCTGGTTCCTGATGGTTTTAACTCTGTCTCTAGATGTCATGGGGATCAGGGATTCAATTAACTTTTGCCCTGCAAAAGAAAATAAACGGAGTTCTATTTCCTTCATCGTTAACAGAGTCATAACATTAAAAATATGGCTCTGAAGTCAGAGCATCTTTTTATGAGAGCACAAGGACAGAGGAATAGATGGACCCAGGACTCTAAAGATCACAAATAAAAATAAAATGAAGACAGTACATGTGTCAAAGCACAAAGCCAAAGCAAAGGACAAAGCTTTTGCTCAACTGTAATTCAGTGTTTCTCTTATGTGTGTGTGTCGGGGGGCGGGGGAGCCTTCCAGCACAGCCAACAGGGTCCCTTGCACAACGTGTCCAGGCTACCTTTCCTCTCTCATTTTAATTTCTCTCACTGCTTCCTGCTGTCCTTGAACCCTAGGCCATGACTTCTTAGTCTCTGACTCACTGCCATGATGGGCTCTTCCACCTCCCTCCTCTTCTCCTGTAACTCACATTCCCATTTTCCTCCAATGTGGCACTCATAGGCTGTTTCTCCCCGACCCCAAAGTCATTCTTCCTGTGCTTGAATCTACCCTCACCTCCCTCCAAGCTTCCTTGGGGCAGGCCCATCCCCAGGCACAGGGTCCTAATGAGTCTAAGACAATGGTCAGATCCTTCTTCTGGGTATCTAGGAAAAGCAACATTCTACAAGTGATGATAGTATATAGAAAAATATCTTGGAAAAGGCTTTATTCCTTCTCAAAACAGAACAATAACAACAACAAAATCAGGCCTAGGGTTTAGCCCAGTGGTAGAGCACTTGCTTAGTAAGGCACAAGGCCCTGGCTCGGTTCCATCCCCAGTACTGTATGCCACTCCTCCCACACACTCAGCAAAGCAAAGCAAAGCAAAACAAAACAATGATGCTTTCTTCCTGTGGCTGTTGTGGCTGTGTCTGACCCTTGGAGCTAATTTCTCACCCCTGAGGGGGGCCAGCTAGGGCAGCAAAGGGCTGGCGATGGCTGAGGGACAGGCCCCTGGCTCACATTACTGAACCAGAACTTCCCACAGGGACACACTGTGTTTATTTCAATAACACAGTTGAAGAGCAGGAGGAATCCTCAAAAGAGGGCCACCAAATCACCCAAGAGATTTTTCTCTTGGCTGGGAACAGCAACACACACCTGCAATCTCAGTACTCTCCTGTCAGCTGAGGCAGGACTGCAGGTTTGAGCCCAGGCTGGGCAACTTCAGTGACTTAGTGAGACCCTGTCTCAATATTAAAAAACCAAACCAAATCAAAAAAAGGCTAGGGGATGTAGCTCATTGCTAAGGCCCTGGATTCAATGCCAAGTACTGCCAAAGAGAGAAAGAAAAAGGGAAGGAGGGGAAAGGAGGAAAACAGGGAGTGAAGGGGAAAAAGGGAGAGAAATATTTGTCAAGTAAGGGCCAGCTTTAATCAGTGGATTAAAGTGTCTGCTTAGGCAGAGAATAGGGACCAGGTTTGATCCCTGGTGTGCCATGCTGGCCCTGCACCTGGGGCGCACTGAAATGGTGATTGAGACTGGGTGTGGAGGCGTGCACCTGTAAACCCAGAGCCTGGGAGGCTGAAAACAGGAGTATCACTAGGAGTCTGATCTGTGTAACAAGACCTTGTAGATCCTATGCTAAACATGTATAAAAAAAAAAAGAAGTATTTGTCAAGTAAAGAGAGAGGAAGAAAGGAGAAGGGAAGTAAAAGGAAAACAGCAGTGCAGGGAGAGAGTAGCTGTGAGCAGCAAGGCCAATTTTCAGCAAGGGGCAGAACCCACCAAATGCTTTAGTGAGAGGATTTTTTTTCTACCAGCAGCTACAGAGTGTTAGAAGATTTTATGGCCAGAGTACTAAGGAGTAAAATAGAAACAGAATTTTTGTTGGTCTCGGGAGTAGACAGGCCAGGCATCTCAACTGAGACCCATTTCTTGATGAACTCTTGGTAAGAGGTGTCCTTTCTATGATCCCTGAAACCTCAGTGGGGAAGAACTGGACCAAGATAGGACAGTATGATGGGTAAGGACTCGGGCCTGGCAATCAGGCAGACCTGCGTGTCATCCCAGATCTGCCAGGCCACTGAATTTCCTTGAGCCTCAGTATTCTCATTACGCAAATGGAAACGTCTGCCTAAAGATACAGGGTGAAGAATAAATAAATCTAACTTTGATGATTCACAGAGAGATTACGCCACCAAGTGGGTGAAATAATGGATCGAGGGAAGCTCTTGTTAGTCATGAGGTCTCCGATTGAGCCCTCCCTCCAACTCATCTTTACTAGTCCCTCAACATTCCTTGATGTCTTAAAAATAAGGAACACTGGGGACAAGCGATGGGTGGTAGTGCACATCTGTAACCACAGAGAAAGACTGTGAATTGTGTCTCAGCAACTTAGTGACTGACTTCATGAGACATCTCAAAGTTTAAAAAATAATTTAAAGGACTGGGGATGTGGCTCACAAAACAGCAACAATAAAGATCCTGTGGACAATCTGCAAGCCTTCTCTGCCTCTGCCCTAACTCTTCCCCAGTGCTTTATACCTTGAATGGTTTCATGGAAGGTATAAGCAGTGTCTACACCCAGGTATTCTGGGCTACGAAAGGTCTGAGGAATGCATTCATTCAAAGATGTTGAGAATTCTAACTGGCTGTACTTTTTGTCATTCCTGTGGTTGAAAATCAGAGAGTCTGTCACATGGATGTCAGATGCTGATGAAACCACGCAGGAGGCTGAGTTTGCTAGTGGTTTGTCTTGAACAATCTGAGTTGAGGAGGGATGGCTTTGGATTCCAGAAGGAACATTCTCGATTTCTATGATGATTTCATTCACTCGGTCATCTGACAGCATCTCTAGGCTCCTAGAAGCCTTATTTTCCACCTGTGGGGTCTTCGAAGACCTCACAGGTAGTCACACTGCCATTGTCCCACTGGGACCCACTGGGGGACAAGTGATGACAATGATACAGGTCTGCTCTGGTCACAGTTTTTCATTGCCAGGATGAGATCACCACAACCAGCTCCACAAAAATCACAACCTACAACCTAACTTCCCCACAGCGGTCTCCTGAGGAATCTTCTCAGGAGATGCGTTTTCCTGTAAAGAATTCTGTCCTGGTAACTAGGTAGAAATTAGAAACAGAATCCTTATGGAAGACAATGGGATTCTAGAAACAGAAGACAGATATTCTTCTAAATGACTCACAGTCAGATAGCAAGATTTTGTTTTTTTCATTTAACACTTCTACCCTAGAATTTATAATTTTATAAACTTGTATAAATCCAGGGAGGTTTATAGTGTTTCAACTGTCATCTCTGTTATCTGGCCCCTTTCTAACATTCATCTTTTTCCTCCTATTCCTAGAGAAACTGAATTTTCTATGCAATCACTATCCTGAGGTAAGATTTTCCCAGCTTCCTTTGCAGCTAAGGGTAGACATTAGTTAATGAAACAAGTGGCTTCTGGATAAATTCTTTAAAAGAAGAGAAAGATGCCAGGAACCTCGGCCCCGGAGGGCATCTTGAGGGCTGCTATAATTTTGGACTTCCTCCCTCCACTCTTCTGGTTACATGAGACAAGTAAATCTGAATATCGAGAAGGTATTGCTCTATTTCGGCTCCAGACACCTGCACACAATTCCTGCCCAATAAACCTGACTTAGACATCACCTTGTTTATTTAATTGTTGGAGAAGATGAGGGGCAGAGACATGCACTGGCCCTTCCCTTCACTCACCACATTCCCATTAAATGGCACAACTAATAAACCAGACATCCTGACCTAACTGCAGTCCTTTTGTTTAACAGAACTACAGCCAATCTGTCCTTAGCTAAATCATATCTTCTGTTATAAAATTAAAACTTTTGTAACTGTGCTAAAACAACTTTGCTACAACTATGCTCAACACAAGATACCCACTGTACCATGGCCTTCAGCTAAAGCTTATCTAATTGTTGAAACTTCTGTTTGCTACCCTATAAAAAAGGCACACTCACTGTAACCAATGCCTCGACTTGGGAGATTATTTCTCTGGAGTCTGCTGGTACTAATAAAATTTCCTGTCTTTTCCTGAGCTCCTGACTACTGTTGACTCAGTTTTCCTGCAACTTGAGATAGAACTCAAGAACTCCGCTTGCAACAGTTAACAGTAACAACTACCTTGACTGCAGACCAAACTCCTTAGAATATACATTCACTTCTCACAATCACCCTATGAAGTAGGTACTGTCCTCAACCCACTTTATACTAAAACACAGGCTCCACAAAGTAATTTTCCTAGGGTCACAGAATCAGCAAGTAGTAAAGTTAGGGAGTGAAACCCAGGTCAGAAGGTAGATTAAGCACTTCACTGTGTCCCCTTCCTGAAATAAGTCACTAATGTCTCCTTCATTCAATTATAAACAAATATTTACCAGTGCCCACTATGTATGAGGGTGACATAATCCATTAAAGTGACATTTTATCATGAAACTATCCATCAATTAGTTGTACGTGGTTTGGAAATAAAAATCAATGCAAGACAAAACAGCAAAGATATTCAAGTCCTCTATTTCATTACTTCTTTCTGCTTTTGGGGAACTCTGATCTCAAACCTCATGCTGGCTGGCTAGGGTGGTCCTATGAAGGTTAAAGCCATTCCCTCTCCCTGTTAAAGCCAATCTTGTCCACTACAGTGGTTCAAGTGTATATTCTTTCAACATGCTGGCCAGAGTCTTTCCCTGGCATTGATAGACTGGGGTCAATGGAAGGCCTTTCAAGCAGGAAGACCACCTGAGCAGATTCTATGTGGGGCTCCTGGCCTGATTCTGATCCAGATAGAGAAGGCTGAGTTTACAGAGAAGTTGAGTCAAGCAGAGCTGAGAAATGGACAAAACCCAAGCAAGTCCAAGTAGTAATGAGCCCTTGAGAGTCTGAGGCCTTGATTTCTCTAATTCACCCAACAATTTAATCCAGCAAATACGTCTCAAAATCCCTACCACATGCAAGTTACTGTATGAGGAACTAGAAGCAGTTTACTTTAGGTTCTTTAACTTTCTCCCATGCCCTTCCCACAAAATGAACTAATAAATACCCTGGGGCTAATGTTTATTTGAATTGAGTTTCTGTCATTTGCAACCAGATTCCTAATGAGGACACCTTGCTATCTAGAAGAGAAAAACTTCATGCTTGAAGTAAAACTCGAAGGATTGAGGTATATATCAGGGGTAAGAGAAAGTGTTGACCATGTTCAAGGCCCTGGATCCATTCACCAGCACAAGGGAGGAAGGAAGGAAAGAAGTTAGGGAAGAAGGGAGAGAGGAAGGTAAGGAAGGAGGGGAAAGAAAGAGACAAGACTCCATTATGATAAATTAAACAAATGATGCATCCAATACAACACCAGATGCCAGAGGATATGGTAGTATCTGGGTTTCCTTGAATATGTTTCTTCACTGGGCCGATTTCGGGATCACAGTACATTAGCCCTTACCTTGGGGTGATCCGTGCCAATCACATTCAGATGACAGCAGGTTCCCATTAGCACCGAGAGAGCCATTTTCACCCATAAAAGCAGGGTTCACTGGAATGAAGAGAGATGCTTCAAATCAGTCTCATGATCCTAGATACTCCTGAGCACATAATGATTATTGTGTGCTAACAATGATTAGCAATGGTTATCAACACCAAGAGCTTGTCTTTGACGTTCTGACAGATCCAGATTAAGACCTCAGGCAGAAAATAAAACAAAAATTAAAAAAGTCATTAAATATTATCAACCTGGATCAATGGGTTTCATTGGACTGTAAGTTATGATTAAAATAATTCTTAAACTGAGATACAGGGCACAACTATCTCTATGTAACTTAAAAAATAAGTTTCAAAATAAATAAGTAAATAAAAATAAAAAATAAGTTTCACAAAATAATACTCTGACTACAGAAACTTCACTTTGATACATGCTTACACTATGTCACTTTCTTTTTAATTTTCATCTTAATTATTCTTGAAAGGCTCTATTTCAGTTTTAAAAGTTCATTTTACAACTTCAAAATGAGTTAAATTCAGAATTTGAAGAGTACTTGTGTAGGGCTGGTGAGATGGCTCAGTGGTCTAAAGCACCTACTTAGAACAAGCTAAGCTAAGCAGAGCACAGGGACTGCGTAAATCCCCCAGCACCACATGCCAGCCCGCCCCGCCCCCTGGTGGGCTGAGCTGGCCACACAAACACAAAATCAATAAATAAACAAACAAATAAATACAAAATTAAAAAAAAAGATTTAAAAAAAAAAAAGAGTACTTGTGTAGATGAATAACCAAGATTCCTTCCAGCTCTAGGATTTTATGATGACACATGAATAAAGTGTCATCATACAGCATGATTGCTTCAGGGGCAAGCCCATTCTAAGCATCTACATGACAATCTCATATGTCAATATGCTTTTATTCAATCCATGGAAAACATTAGAGGGAAACTCTTCAACAGAGAAAATTAAGCACATTTTGATGGGCCTAGCAAGTAAAATTAAGTAACAGAAGGTTCTGGAATTTCTTGCTTGGGCATTACTCCCAGCCCTGTTTGTCCCTATGCATGTTACTTAACATCTCTGAGGATTTAAAATAGGGATATTAACATGACTTTCATATAGGATTGTTGAGGAATTCAATCAGAAAATTGAATACATATATGTATATATATTATATAATGATTAAATAATATTGGAATGCAGTCAATTTTTAATTCCTATAATAACTATTGTGGGAGATTGTTATTCAGGAAATATTACACCTCCCCCCACCTTTATTACTGTTGCACTTTGTGACAGGACTTGCTTTTACCGATGTAATGGCAGCAGGGAGCAGTGTGCCAGCTCAAAGCTATTAAAGCCATTGAGAGTTTCTGCTTGCTACTTTACCTTCCTCCAACTTATGCCCCAGATAGCTCACTGCTCCAAGAAGGAAACTAGACCTAAACAGAACCCAAGACTTGGTGCTAAGCACAGCCAAACTCAGCCCAACGCGCCTGAAACCCAACTAATCCTGCAGATGTGTGAGTGAGGAATAAATGCTTTCTTATGGTATGAGTCAGGGTTTTGGGAGTTGCTTGTAATGCAGCATCCGGGCAGCATGAACTAACCAAATACAACATGCATGCAGGCTAGGAAGACAATTAACTTTTCTCATACATCTAATATGGACCACACACTGCATACTGGAAGTCATCTAGAGCTTTGGGGGATGCACAGATGAGTGTAGGTTCTTCTAGGAATCTGACAACTTGTCAGAATGGAGGGAACTGTCTGGTGATAAGTGACTGCTTTTTTTGTGATGGCATTGGTACTGGGAATCAAACTCATGATCTTGCACTTGCCATGCAGGCACTGTGTTGCTGAGCTATATTCCCGGCCCCAGATAAGTGACTATTAAGGTTTATAGCATCTGTTCTACAAAGGAGCTCACAGAGGAAGACATATTCTTTTAATTTTGAGACAGGGTCTCACTATGCAGTTCAGGCTGCCCTTGAACTCACTTTGTAGCTGAGTTGACCACAAACTCACAACAATCCTCCTGCCTCAGCCTCCCAAGTGCTGGTATTAGAGCTGTGTGCCACCACAACCACCTGTTGGGTTTTTTTTTTAAAGTAATTTCTAATGTTCTAAAGAGATGGGTAGTAAGGACTCTGCTTGCATTTGTCCTGATTTTACTCAGCAATAATGCAGGGTAAATGAAAGGTCAGGCTTTGGATCACACAGGCTGGACCCCAATCTTGGTTCTGTCAAATTAGCAGCTGACCTTAGGCACATTTCTTTAAAAAATTAAAAAAAACATATTTTATTTACTTATTTATTTGGTACAGTGTCTTACTATGCAGCTCAGTCTTGTAGTGATCCTCCTATCTTAGACTCCCCAGTGCTGGGATTACAAGTGTGTGTCACATGCCTGGTTTTGGGGCTGGCACAGCGCACCCAGGGTTCTAGGGCCAGCATGGCATGCCATACTGGGGATTGAGCAGGCAGATGCTTAGATCACCAAGCTATCTCTCAGCCCAGCACACTTCTTTTTGAACCTCAGTTGTACCATCTGCTAAGGCGAAGCAGCAGAGCCTACCTGGAAGGTAGTTGTAAGACTGAGATAATGACAGTAAAATGCCCAGCAATCTCAGCATAGAAAAAACCTAAAGCCTATCTGTTATTATTCATGCAATTTACACTAGGGTAGGGCAGGTAAATTTACCAATTTTTTCATTATCAGCTCCCAAAAGAGTCTTCACAGTTCTATTTATGAACTCTATACATATCTGTGCTTTATATAAAAAGAGTAATATTGTTTTCTGGCCTTTCTAGAACAATCCCTTTCCCCACCCTTGGGTTTGCTATTGCCTTCTACTGAGAATGCAAGGATAAAGGTTCAGGATATTCTTGGGCTGAATAACTGACATTTGGGCTCCCAAATTAATAGTTTGCATGCAAATGTTTAACAATCAGAGTTTTTCATTATGATAGACTGACTTACAGTTTTTCTACTTTATGATGGTGGGAAAGTAATGTGCATTCAATATGAACTACACTTCCATTTTTTTCTTTCATTTATGTATGTAGTATAGGGTCTCACTAGGCAGTTCAGACTTGTAGTGACCCTCCTGTTTTCAGCCTCCCCAGACCTGGGATTACAGGTGTGCATCACCATGCCCAGACTCATTCGCTGGCTCAGAGCACCCTGGGGGCAGAGCTAGGGGGGCATGTGGGACTGGGGATCAAACCCTGGTCCCTGTGCTTGCCAAAACAGGTGCTTAGTCTACTAATCTATCTCACTGGCTCTTACACTTCCAAAATTTGAATTTTGGGAAGTATGTAGCTTAGTAGCAATGAAAGGGAAAAACTGCAAGAGAAATTGTTCCTTTTAGATCTTGGTTCCTTTTGAAGTTGCCTAGGTCTATAAATGCTTTGTAGCTCTGTAATTACTTTCTTGACCCCTGTAATCATGAGAGTGTAACCCAATGTACAGGATCCCTGATAGTAATAAGCTCCACGACCATTAACTTGGTCTTGTAACTGATGGCCTTTAATCTGGCCTTGGAACCAATGATTCCACCCTGCGGGCTAATCAGAGAACTGCCAGGCTGTTCTGTCTCACCTTTGTATCTCCTGCTTATGCAGCATATAAAAGCACCAGCTCACAAGCACTGGACACCTGGCTTTGTTGGGGGGAATGATCCCAGCTAGGGCCACAGGTGTAAAATAAAGCTGTTTGCTGCCTCCATATCCAAGATGTTGTTTTGGTGTTTCTGCAGGCCGCAACAGTACAGCACTTGCCTGGCATGCATGAAGATTCCATCTCCAGCACCACAAAAACAAATTGAAGTTTGAAAATTTCCAGAGCAGCAACGTGCTACATGTTCCTCACACATGGTTCTGGGTAGCAGCAGTTCCTAGTCAGCCAGGCAAATAACTGAAACTTGACAGTGCACTGTTTTCCTAAGCCAGGATACTCTGAGGTTAGTGTATGTGATGCATTTTTAAACTTGTGTATTTTTGACATCTGATAAGCTTATCAGTATAAGCCAAGGAGAAAGTACATAGAGAGACATCCCATCCCCTCCTCTCTGACTTGTTCAACCCCTTTCTCAAACTGAGCATGGTGTCACCCACCTATAATCCCACCTCCTGAAGGCTCAGGCAGGAAGACCATCATGAGTTTGAAGCCAGTCTTGGCTGTATAGTGATTTCAAGGACAGCCTGAACTTCATAATGAGGTCCAGTTTCAGAAAGCCCTTCTTATCCACCCTCCTGGCTGACCAGTCTTCAGTCTGCGCCACTGGCGCATGTGTCTTAGGTGTTTTTCTTGGTTGACCCTCCTGCCTCTTCCGACCCCCACAGGCCCTATGTTCACCTAACACTGCCTGGATTTGACTCTGTCTATATAGTGAACTGGCTTCTCCACAGACAGCAAGTCCCTTTTTCCTCTTGGAGGAAGAACCATTTAGAACGTCCTTTGTCTCGTGGAGCTGAGCATTTTGCCTTTACACACACAGATTCTGATGATGTGACTTTTCACATGTAAAGAGACCCTTGTTAGTTTTCTTAGTCTTGGTGTACTACTCTGATTTATCTACGCAAGTTTAAAGTAACACAAGATAGCATTTATATGTATTTTTGTTTAACTTGTGAACAAAGACTTATAGACAGCAAAAGTAGAAATCCTCCTTTGAAACCCCAACCTCATTGTCCACCCTGAGTTTTTAGATAGATAGATAGATAGATAGATAGATAGAGATATAGGTATAGATATAGATATAGATATAGATGAAAGAATATGTTATTTAACACGGTTTAAAATGACAGGTTTAGGGCTGGAGAGATGGCTCAGTGGTCTAAAGCACCTACTTAGAACAAGCTTAGCAAAGCATCAGGGACCGCGGTTCGATCCCCCAGCACCACATGCC